CACGATTCCTCCCCCCACTGACACCAAGGATGGGGCACGATTCCTCCCCCCACTGACACCAAGGATGGGGCACGATTCCTCCCCCCACTGACACCAAGGATGGGGCACGATTCCTCCCCCCACTGACGATTCCACTGACACCGGATGGGGCACGATTCCTCCCCCCACTGACACCAAGGATGGGGCACGATTCCTCCCCCCACTGACACCGAGGATGGGGCACGACACTGACACCGAGGATGGGGCACGATTCCTCCCCCCACTGACACCAAGGATGGGGCACGATTCCTCCCCCCACTGACACCGAGGATGGGGCACGATTCCTCCTCCCCACTGACACCGAGGATGGGGCACGATTCCTCCCCCCACTGACACCAAGGATGGGGCACGATTCCTCCCCCCACTGACACCAAGGATGGGGCACGATTCCTCCCCCCACTGACACCAAGGATGGGGCACGATTCCTCCCCCCACTGACACCGAGGATGGGGCACGATTCCTCCCCCCACTGACACCGAGGATGGGGCACGATTCCTCCCCCCACTGACACCGAGGATGGGGCACGATTCCTCCCCCCACTGACACCAGGAGGATGGGGCACGATTCCTCCCCCCACTGACACCAGGATGGGGCACGATTCCTCCCCCCACTGACACCAAGGATGGGGCACGATTCCTCCCCCCACTGACACCAGGATGGGGCACGATTCCTCCCCCCACTGACACCAAGGATGGGGCACGATTCCTCCCCCCACTGACACCGAGGATGGGGCACGATTCCTCCCCCCACTGACACCGAGGATGGGGCACGATTCCTCCCCCCCCCCACTGACACCGAGGATGGGGCACGATTCCTCCCCCCACTGACACCAAGGATGGGGCACGATTCCTCCCCCCACTGACACCGAGGATGGGGCACGATTCCTCCCCCCACTGACACCAAGGATGGGGCACGATTCCTCCCCCCACTGACACCGAGGATGGGGCACGATTCCTCCCCCCACTGACACCGAGGATGGGGCACGATTCCTCCCCCCACTGACACCGAGGATGGGGCACGATTCCTCCCCCCACTGACACCGAGGATGGGGCACGATTCCTCCCCCCACTGACACCAAGGATGGGGCACGATTCCTCCCCCCACTGACACCGAGGATGGGGCACGATTCCTCCCCCCACTGACACCGAGGATGGGGCACGATTCCTCCCCCCACTGACACCGAGGATGGACGATGGGGCACGATTCCTCCCCCCACTGACACCGAGGATGGGGCACGATTCCTCCCCCCACTGACACCGAGGATGGGGCACGATTCCTCCCCCCACTGACACCAGGATGGGGCACGATTCCTCCCCCCACTGACACCGAGGATGGGGCACGATTCCTCCCCCCACTGACACCAAGGATGGGGCACGATTCCTCCCCCCACTGACACCGAGGATGGGGCACGATTCCTCCCCCCACTGACACCGAGGATGGGGCACGATTCCTCCCCCCACTGACACCGAGGATGGGGCACGATTCCTCCCCCCACTGACACCGAGGATGGGGCACGATTCCTCCCCCACTGACACCAAGGATGGGGCACGATTCCTCCCCCCACTGACACCGAGGATGGGGCACGATTCCTCCCCCCACTGACACCGAGGATGGGGCACGATTCCTCCCCCCACTGACACCCTCCCCCCACTGACACCGAGGATGGGGCACGATTCCTCCCCCCACTGACACCGAGGATGGGGCACGATTCCTCCCCCCACTGACACCGAGGATGGGGCACGATTCCTCCCCCCACTGACACCGAGGATGGGGCACGATTCCTCCCCCCACTGACACCGAGGATGGGGCACGATTCCCTCCCCACTGACACCGAGGATGGGGCACGATTCCTCCCCCCACTGACACCGAGGATGGGGCACGATTCCTCCCCCCACTGACACCGAGGATGGGGCACGATTCCTCCCCCCACTGACACCGAGGATGGGGCACGATTCCTCCCCCCACTGACACCGAGGATGGGGCACGATTCCTCCCCCCACTGACACCGAGGATGGGGCACGATTCCTCCCCCCACTGACCCCACGATTCCTCCCCCCACTGACACCGAGGATGGGGCACGATTCCTCCCCCCACTGACACCGAGGATGGGGCACGATTCCTCCCCCCACTGACACCGAGGATGGGGCACGATTCCTCCCCCCACTGACACCGAGGATGGGGCACGATTCCTCCCCCCACTGACACCGAGGATGGGGCACGATTCCTCCCCCCACTGACACCGAGGATGGGGCACGATTCCTCCCCCACTGACACCGAGGATGGGGCACGATTCCTCCCCCCACTGACACCAAGGATGGGGCACGATTCCTCCCCCCACTGACACCGAGGGATGGGGCACGATTCCTCCCCCCACTGACACCGAGGATGGGGCACGATTCCTCCCCCCACTGACACCGAGGATGGGGCACGATTCCTCCCCCCACTGACACCGAGGATGGGGCACGATTCCTCCCCCCACTGACACCGAGGATGGGGCACGATTCCTCCCCCCACTGACACCGAGGATGGGGCACGATTCCTCCCCCCACTGACACCGAGGATGGGGCACGATTTCCTCCCCCCACTGACACCGATGATGGGGCACTATTCCTCCCCCCACTGACACCGACCGATGGGGCACGATTCCTCCCCCCACTGACACCGATGATGGGGCACGATTCCTCCCCCCACTGACACCGAGGATGGGGCACGATTCCTCCCCCCACTGACACCGAGGATGGGGCACTATTCCTCCCCCCACTGACACCGAGGACGGGGCACTATTCCTCCCCCCACTGACACCGATGATGGGGCACTATTCCTCCCACTGATACCGATGATGGGGCACTATTCCTCCCCCACTGATACCGATGATGGGGCACTATTCCTCCCACTGATACCGATGACGAGGCACTATTCCTCCTCCCACTGACACCAATGACGGGGCACTATTCCTCCTCCCACTGATACCATGACGGGGGCACTATTCCTCCTCCCACTGACACCAATGAAGGGGCACTATTCCTCCCACTGACACCAATGAAGGGGGCACTATTCCTCCCACTGACACCAATGACGGGGCACTATTCCTCCCAATGACACCAATGACGTGGCACTATTCCTCCTACTGCAAAATTACAGTTATGAAGTAGCAACGAAAATAATTTTATGGTTGGGGGTCACCACAACATGAGGAACTGTATTAAGGGGTCGTGGCGCTAGAAAGGTTGAGAACCACTGATCTAAACCATTCCATTGTAGCTCTGGCTGTATGTTTATGGTAGTTGTCTTGCTTGAAGGTGAACCTCTGCCCCAGTCTCAAGTCTTTTGCAGACTCTAACAGGTTTTCTTCTAAGATTGCCCTGTATTTGGCTGCATCCCTTGTCCCATCAACTCTGACCAGCTTCCCTGTCCCTGCTGAAGAAAAGCATCCCCACAACATGATGCTGCCACCACCATGTTTCATGGTGGGGATGGTGTGTTCAGGGTGATGAGCAGTGTTAGTTTTCCACCACACATAGCGTCTTGCTTCTAGGCCAAAATATTCAGTTTTGGTCTCATCTGACCAGAGCACCTTTTTCCACGTTTGCTGTGTCCCCCACATGGCTTCTCACAAACGGCAAACAGGGCTTCTTATGGATTTCTTTTAACAATGGCTTTCTTCTTGCCACTCTTCCATAAAGGCCAAATTTGTGGAGTGTACGACTAATAGTTGTCCTGTGGACAGATTCTCCCACCTGAGCTGTGGATCTCTGCAGTTCTTCCAGAGTTACCATGGGCCTCTTGGCTGCTTCTCTGATTAACCACTTCATATCCAGACACTTTTACCCTCTTCCTGTCCAGGCCAATTTTCAGCTTTCAGCGCTGACACACTTTGAATGACAATTGCGTGGTCATGCAAAACTGTACCCATATGAATTTTTTATCATTTTTTTGAGACAGATAAAACTTTATTTTGGTGGTATTTATTCACCACTGGGATTTAAATTTTTTTTTGCTATATAAATTAAAAAGTCCAAAGATTTTGAAAAAAAGTGTTTTTATTATAAAATTTTGCAAGTAAATAATCTTTCTTCATAAATCTTGGCCAAAATCTATTCAGTTATCTTTTTAGTAAAAAAAAAAAAAAAAAACCCAAATTAATTTATAGCCAAAAATTATAATTATAAAGATTGCGGTGCTGCTTGCTCCCAGGGAGCACGCACAGTCCAAAAAGGCAGGCTCTGTTTTAAACGGCAATCCACACCTGCACTGCCACCCTCCGGCCGTTAATATACATGGGCCGGATGGGAAGTGGTTCATGCTCTCCTTGCCCGGCCTGTCAGTTTAGGTGGATGGCCATGTCTTGGTAGGTTTGCAGTTGTGCCATACTGTTCAAAGCTTGTGATTTTTTTTTTTTTTTTTTTTTTTTATTTTTTTTTTTCTATTACCTAACCCTGCTTTAAACATCTCCACAACTTTATCATTGACCTGTCTGGTATGTTCCTTGTCCTTCATGATGCTGTTTGTTCACTAATGTTCTCTAACAAACCTATGAGGGCTTCACAGAACACCTGTATTTATACTGAGATTAAATTACACTCAGGTGGAGCCTATTTACTGATTATGTGACTTCTGAAGGCAAATGGTTCCAATAGATTTTAGTTAGGAGTATCGGAGTAAAGGGAATACAAATGCACGCCACATTTTTCAGATATTTATTTGTAGAAAATGTTGACAACCATTTATCATTTTCCTTCCACTTCCTAATTATGTGCCACTTTGTGTTGGTCTTTCACATAAAATCCCAATAAAATACATTTACGTTTTTGGTTGTAACATGACAAAATGTGTAACATTTCAAGGGGGTATGAATACTTTTTCAAGGCACTGTAACATATGTTCAAAAAAAATCTCCTTTTTATTTAAAAATATGTTCTGTTCTGTTCTTATTTTAGGTTGAACAGTCTTAATCTGATGACATGGCATTGATGTTGTATGATGATACTGTACTCAGTGGCTTGAAGAGGTTTCATAATCCCAGTGCGGCCTACACGTTTGCCAACCACACAATACGAATCAAACAAAACTGGAAAGATCTGGGGGTAGCAGCTGTTGTCTGGGATGCTGTATGTATTACATTATGTTGTATAATGTTCGTTTTATTTTTGAAAATACAAAAATGGTAATTCTCAGTTTTTTTTAACCATTTGAGAGCAGCCTGTAAAACCGCTTTTCAATGCTGTGATAGTTTTACTGTCAATTACTCTGTCATGCAACACTGTACCCATGTAAATTTTATTTCCACAAGTATTTTGTGGAGAAGAATACATATGAAAAGGCCTAGGAAATCTTAATCATTTAAATGTTATGTCATTTTTAGAGACTGAGCTCTCTTTTGTGGTTTTGAATAACCACTAGGTTTTCTATTGTTTTCGTTTCAAAAATGCCAGGAGAGTGTGAAACCCCCCAAATGATCCCATTTTGGAAAGTATACACCCCAAGGTGATCTAATTTTTTAATTTTTGTTTATTAATTTTCATTAAAAAAAAAAAAAAAATTCTTGTCTTGAGGTGGTTAAACACAGAGCTTGAGAATAATACAATAGATACATGAAATAAGCAGTCGTAGACAGAGGGAAGAGGAAGTGAAGGGGTTCATGTACAGTGGCCGGATGGAGATTAAGTATTTTTTCAGATGTGTAGGATAAGGCAGGTCGGGGTTAATATACAGATTAATAGAGAAAGCATGTAGGTAATGTATAGGAAAGGAGGCATGAGAAGATTAAAAAAAAAAAAAAAAAAAATCCCTGTGTCACTAAAATATAATGACTGATTTTGCAGCTGCTGATGCACTAATTTTTTTTCTCCCCATTGACAAGTGCTACAATCTCTTGCCTTCCTCTGTTTTAAGTGGAAGAGGAGGGATCAACGCTGTAAACAATGGCATGTGATACCTGTGATGACCAGTCAAAGTAATCACATGGTGCCCAGACCCTCAAATGGACTCAAGCGTCGGTGTACCGAGTTGTCTAATAATGGCATGTACAGAGAGATTACCAGATACCCAACAGCTATTTATCCAGAGCCATTTATAAACAGGCCTGGGTAAATAAATGGGTTGCCAATCAACCATTTAGGCTACATTCCCCCAGGGATGTCCCCCCTGGGAGTATCTCACCAAAAATGCCATTTTTGTTTCAGGGAATGCTCAAAATCTGACTTGTATCTTAGTGTAGATTTATGGGAATCTGAGCCAATCACACAAGCAGGAAATGACATACAGAACGTCTCCAGGTAGCCATATTGAATTTTACAAAAGGTAATTTTTAATACCATCCAATTAAAATGACATGTTGCAGTTGTATGTGCTATATTATTATTATTTTATTTTTTACCCACAGTTTAAGGAAAAAGGCTTGAAAATGAAATCCAGAAGCTGATTGTTATTATGCACAGCTCTTCCCCTCTTTATCACTTTGCCCATTCAGGGCAAAGTAACAGTGTGTTTCTACTGCCCCCTTCCCTACTATGTCCCAGTTATACTCCATTACCAGTGATCTAGCACCACTCCTGCCTCTGCTACCTCCGTACAGAAAACCCAGTGCTTCATGGCATGGAAGAGCACATGACCTCCTTCCAATGGCAGTGCAAGTCTACAAGCCAGTCGATAAGCTCAAGCACTGTCACATGAATGAGGGTTACTGACACCATTCCCCCTAGTCTCTGACACATGCAACACATTAAATGTTAGGGTTGCCTGCGAAGGCAAAAGCAGCGCTTTATTGCTGATATTGTGAGTATACCTGGGGTCGGGGGTTCTTTAGTAACACACTTTCAGATATATTAAAATTGGATTAACTTATTTTAGACTTAATTATTTAAATTATTTGTACCGGTATGTGCTATTTTATTTTATTATTTGTATTTTAGCTTGCTAGTAAAAACTGCAAGCACTCCAAAGACGTAATGAAACCCAGAAGACTGATTTACTGAAGCGTAAACTTCATTTTCTATACCACTATTGTTTCAGTACTCCACAGGAAATATTTCTCAAGGTGAACCTACAATAACTGTTAATTGGCAGTGTATAACATGAAGCTTATTCAGTAAATCAAATGATTTGCTTTCAACAGTCTCTGGAGTGCCAGCAGGTCTAATTGGACTAGCAACAGGAAGTGTACCTAACTGTGCATAAGAAACTAAAAAAAAAAATATAAAGCAGATAATTAAAATTATTGCTGGTAACCCATTTCCCACAATCCTGTGCTTTTTGTCTTAATTTTTTTTTTTCTCCATATCTACTGAGATGTGATGACCTGCATGTGTGATATAATGAGACAATATAAATGATTTAAAAAAGGAAAATTTTGTGACATCCCTGAGGTGTTTAAAAATAGCTGAATGTGTTTTTATATACTCAAAATATTACCGGGCTATTAATATTCATAAGGCTACTTTCACACTGATCCACAGAAAAAACACGTATGTTTTACACGCACTTTTTACAGGATATGTGACTTAAAAAACGCAAAGCGGGTGAGTTTTTCATCGTTTTTGCCATCTTTTCCATTGATTTCATATATATTATTATTATATTTTTTTTTTCACCGTACCTGCAATGGATCAGTGTGAAGAGTTCCATAGGAATACATGGTCACATGCTTTTTTTTCTTTTTTTTAACACAAAACCGGAAGAAAAACAGATCAGTGTGAAAGCAGTCTAAGGAATACAAAAGCAGATTGTTTATCAAAGGAGTATCTGATTTCTTTCTGGAATCGGGAAGGACTGTTTTCATTTTCCATGTCAGTGCAACACTGCAGTACACATCCTTTTCTGAAGTGGCTTCCAAATACTTTTATTTTCCCTATGTTGTAGTAGTACAATCCATAACATAAGTAGAAGGTCTGAAGCTGGATCACCAGGCACAAGTAGTGAAAGGTCTGGAACTGAAACAGCAAGCACTGCAAAGTGAAACAAAAAGAAAGCACACCAACCTTACACATTACTTCAATAGAATGTGATTTTATTAAATAAAGATATATACTCACAAGCAAAGAAGTAAAACAAGCGTATAGGATCCTCAAAGGAACATTAGAAGTGCAAAACCAGTGCGAGTCCCATCACGGGGGCAGACTCTCAAAGTATTCTGACACTTTTTGAAGGGGGTCCCTTCTTCATTAGAGCTGAAACAGCAAGCACAAGAGGCAGTAGGTCTTCTAACCCTATCCGAACTACCCTGTAAAGGAACTGCTTCAGTCAGATCATGTGATTTGGCTCCCAGCTTTAGTGTAGAGGAGGGATAGCTGACCACGGATGCCCCATAGTAAGCCTGGAGGTGACCTCACCGCCCAGGCACTGCAACTGTTGTCTTCGAACTCTCTCCCCTTCACTGAAGCCAACTGCTGTAGACATCATGGGGTTTATTTACTAAAGCTGGAGAGTCCAAAATCAGACTCCCTTCTGCATAGAAACCAATCAGCTTCCAGGTTTCATTGCCAAAGCTTCATTGAACAAGCTGAGGTTAGAAACTGATTGGTTTCTTTGCAGAAGGGAGTCTGATTTTGGACTCTCCAGCTTTAGTAAATAAACCCCCATGTGACTGGACCAGAGTGCCCTCAGAATAAATGAGCATAGACCTCTTTCCTTTACAGGGTAGTTAGAATGGGGCAGGGGCAGGTTTAAATATAGTTAATATTTGAATGGACTTACACTTCAACATGGATCAGCTTTTTGCTGGTTGAGGCAGGTGTTGAACTGAATCAACTGACATGGGTAGGAATGGACCCGAAGCCAAATCAGTAGATGCAGTAGTTGGTCTAAAGCTCTAGAGCTGGATCAGCTAGCACTGGAGGCAGTAGGGCTGAGACTTTATCATTTGATACAGATAGATAAAGATCTGAACTTGGATCAGCTGGCATTGGTGGGAGCAGATGTAGAAATTGGTCTCTTTGCTCAGATAGAAACTGTTCATGAGCGTGAAAAGGTGAAACTTAGATAAAACCCTATATAAACTTAAGGAGATCTGAAGTTCGAGCATACACAATACTTTTAAAACACTAGCATAGTGATACCAGTACAAACTATAATTGTTTTTTTTTTTTTTTTTATCCAATATAAGCTTACTTGAAAAATAACTTTTTATCTTGTGATTGCTGCCTGTCTGCTAGCCATCTCCTTCAACAACTTCTTAAATTCCAGGTATGCTTTGTGACTTTTCTGCTCTTCCTTTTGGTTTACTTTCAATGTCTAAGGACTACATATCTCATGGTACTTAGTGCCTGCAAGCAGGGATTCCTTTACTGACTACTGAAACTCCTCCTAGTCAGCATCTCCGTAGTTCAGAAGTAGAGATGTGCCCAATGTAAAGATTTGTTATGTTTCAGATTCGTTCATTAAATTACACTTGCCCTCCAGGAGATTTACCCCCCTTAATGACCAGGCCTCTTTTTGCTGCTTGGTGCTGCACTAATTCAACTGATAATTGCGCGGTCATGCAATGTTGTACCCAAACAAAATTTACGTGCTTTTTTTCACACAAATAGAGCTTTCTTTCGGTGATATTTGATTACCCGTGCGCTTTTTATTTTTTGTGCTATAAACAAAAAAAGACTGAAAATTGTGAAGAAAAACAATATTTTTTTTTTACTTTCGGCTATAAAAAATATATAGTAAACTCAAAGTTAGTTATAAATTTAGGATATATTCTCTTTCATTCTTCTCTATTTTACTCAATTCTAATATTGGCAGTTGGCTATATTCTCTTTTATTCTATTCGAACTTCCCATTTTGGAAGATGATTATATTCTTTGTTTTATTGTATTTGAAATTTGAATTTTAGAAAACTGCTATATTCTTTCTATTTTATTCTATTCAAAATTCGAATTTTGGAAGAAGGCTATTTTTTTTTTCTATTTTATCCTAATCTCTTCTATTTTTTTCTATTCTTTTTATTCTGTTCCTTTATTCTCCATTCTATTTTGTTTTATTCTATTCTTTTCAATTGTGTTTTTGTTCTATTCATTCCCTTCTATTCTATTATACTTCTTTTATTTTCCATTCTATATTTTTGTGTTCTGTTTTATTATATTCTAGTCTATTTTTTCTATTCTATTTTGTTTTATTCTAG